CAGCAGAAGATGGCACAATTCATGTGTAGAAAGTGCAAATGTCCAAGTCAGAGTGGCTAAGAACAACGGAGGCCTGACGCCAAGGCCACGCGATCCCACATCTCATCACCTCCTCACACGGCCCTGAACCCGCAAAACCCGGCCCCTACGGTCCCCGTCAGACCACAGGAAGCAGCTCTACTAGAGTAAAACGCAAAGTAAATTAAGAAAATAGAAGTGTATGCCACCTTTTGCTCACATAATTATAAATTAAATGTCTTTTCTGTAGCTTGTGATGTAGATGAAGAGTTGCTTCTCTTTTTGTTTGTTTTTTTTTTGTTTCTTTTTGTTGTTTCAGCCAGGCTCAGGGTCACTGGAGCTGCTCAGATAAGGTCCACTGCCTCAGTCTCTGAGCTCCAAAGAGAAAGAGAAATAGAAATGCGTTAAGATGATTCACCCTCAGATGTTTCAGAATTAACCGATTGTGGAATCAACTCCTATCAAAATTTAAACTCAAAAATTATTAAAAATTTAAACAAAATTTAGTATTTCAGCTACATACACTTTTCAGAAATTGGTTATTCAAATGCATATTGTCGAGAAAAGTTGAGCTCATCCCACTTTCCCATGCTGGAGATTTTAGTTTAATAATAACAATAAATAAAGTGATCTATAAAACTGATTACACAGGTGATATCAAGACCCAACAGTAGAGTCAGACGGTAATAAAAGTAATCTGGTTGTGTGTTGTTATTGTGTCCTGCAAACTTTGCTTTAAATCTACTTTTTTCTATTTAATCATAAAAAAACATAATCAGGCAGAAAGAGAGTCATGGAACAGGAAGAGCAGGTTTAGTGAAGAAAGAGGAAGTTTCCAGCCTGCAGTGAATAAAAATAGTTTAGAGTGCTCATTTCAAGGCATTAAAGATTTAAAGAATAAAATCTAAACATTTTGAGGAATTGGATAAAACCCAGAGTAAAATACTTAAATTAATAATGATAACTTATGATTAAACCAATAATTAATATTGGTTTAACCAGTGGTTGATGTTGGTTTGATTATAAGAATATTTACACTTACTCTTATACTTATGGAAGTACTTACAGGTGAAAGAAGTAACTGTAACATGGTATCAAATGATTGGAATAATGGATTATTCTTGGTTTCTTTTCAGAAATGTTTGTAATAACACATTATGATTATAAGAGTAACTAATAAGTAATGGTTATTATATTATAAGTGAATGCTAAATCAGAGAAACTAAAAGGTTATAAATGTGATTTTGACATTGAACTTGAAATGGTGTAACATGTAACTGTAACTAAAGGTCACTGATGTTGTGTTGGAGGTAGATGGTAGGTGAAAAGTCAGGGAGAAAGAGGAACTGATAGGAGAGCAGAGGTGACCAAGACATTAGGTCATCAGAACAGACATCATGTCTCCAAGATGGTGATGGATATGAGATCATCTGTCCAAGCAGTCAGTACGGAAGAAACAGGAAGTGAGATTTTTTGAGATGCATGAAGGAAACAGGTGCAGAAGGCAATCAGAGAACTTCAGAAAGTTCAGCTCCAAGGGAACAAGGAAGTTCATCTGAAGGTTGAGGCCAACCAAAAGGCAGTTGACGTCAAGGAAAAACGCATGTGAGGAAAGAATGTGTGTGGCTGCTGATAAGAATAAAAAGACACCAGACAGGAGGATCGGGGTTCTTTGTTCCGCAGCGTTCGAGTCGAGCACACATGGAGATGCAGAATCAACGGAGGGCTGCGTGCTGATACCCCGGGACGATGAGACTGCTCGCTGCACAAGAAAGGAACAAGATTCGTTTACCCACAACCTGGGATTCTGATTCGACTGCAGCCCCACACTCAACCCAAAAGATTCCAACGATGCTGCAGTGGACATGGGGAATAGACAAAGATCTTATATGGATAAAGAACTGAGTTAATTGAGGATTCTCTCCAGTTCAACGTTGGATCTATTCTAAAAGGATTCTGCCAAGACAAAGACAGGACTCCATCCATGGACGTTAAAGTTCTCTGCTGCCAAGATCGTCACTGCATCTGGGTTCGAGTAATACTGCCTCCCCCAAAGCCTCTATTTAGATTAAGACACAGTGTAGGGTTAGAATTAGGAGTAATTTCTAAAAATTCTTAAAAATATCAATCTTTTATTGATAAGCTGTATGTCTTTTTCCCTTGCTAAAGCTTGCTAATAAAAACACTAAAGTCTAATTGATGCTGTGGACAGTTAAATTAATTGAGTCAACTAAAGGTTAATTCTTCTGATTAATGTGAAATCAATGTTGATGGTCCTAGTAAATTAGGGTGGCTTCGTACGTTCTTTAGTTCAGATAAATAATGACCCTTGGACTTATTCCTAGTTGCTAAAATTATCTAAGCAGTAAGAAGTGCACGTTAATAACAGGGAAAGAGCTACCATGGACAGACGTGGTTTATGAGCTTGGACACCGGCGGGGCTGCTCCGATGTCTGAATCATGGACTGAAGCGGGTCATAACGTCTGGATGAAGGTAGTTAGAGCTTAGACGAATCTTTCTCGCTCCCAGCTTAAATAAAAGTTCCCTACATTCTTATTTGCGTTAATACCCAGGAATTAGAGGCTTTTCGGACCCGTGAGATGGAGAGCTGGTCAGTAGTCAGTCCGCTGGAGTTTAGGAGGAGTTAGGTGCGTGGCTGAGTACTGTGCATTAACAATATGTCCAATTTTACACAAAAGTATCCTTGTGAAATTGCCACGCTTTAAGATAACTAGTTAAATTTCGTTAATAATTTAGGTCAAAAAGAGAACTGTAATCAAATATTCTTTATACCATTAATGAAAATATTACCATTATCCTGATATTTTTCAAAACAGCTGAGTGTTGTATTTATGTATAGTTTTCTTTTTAGAATTAAAAAAAAATTGTTCACATTTTATCTGAATTTTTCCCTGTGTCCCCTCAGGGGCTCCGTAGAATTTTATAGTACTTTTAACCAAAATTTTCTTAATAACAATTACATCCAACTGTAACTTTATACAATTAAATTAGAGGTGATGCAGGAAATTCATGAATATTTAATTAAACATGGCATAGATATTGATTGAAGCTATTCAAATTTACATTATCAATTTTAATTTAGTAAGATCTTCTATATAACTGTATTTCAGTCATGCAGGAAGGCACTGTATACGAGCTCATTAAATAATCTCACAATACACCAATGTCAAATGAATAAATTCATAATTAACCATATCTATACACCAACTAGGAACTAGAGTCTATTTCTTCTCCGCCCCCTATTGATATAATTGTAAACAATTGAAAGCAATTTTGTGTGTACTATTCTCCAAAACTAAAATATTCCAGGGTGTCACAAGTTTCCCAAATGTTCTGTCTAGAATTGAAAGTAGACTATGAGATGTTCTAAATGTAAAGTTTTATCAGAAATGTTTTATGTTTATCATTTATCATTTCCCCCTTTTGTTTTCTTATGTAAATAGAAAACAAACTAAATATTGTTCAGAGACTCTTTTTGTACATATGTCTAAAATGTCCAACTGAAACTGTACTGCAAAGGCCAAAAGTTTCATTATTTTAAAGAGTTCAGATCAGAATTTGGATTGCTTTCCTAAAAAGCAGTGTCAATGTTCTGTGTGAACTGACAAAAGACAAATTGATCAATTTAGGCAGAGGAGCAAAAGATGTAGACAAAATTATGCAGTACTGTAAGATGTCTTTGCGTTTCAAATCAAATGTTTTGTTGGACTTGGATTCATGTATTAATTCAATCAAAATTTAAGGCACACAAATGTTGTGAGCCAGTTGTTGTCCAATCAGTTTGTTTTTACATAATCAATTACTATCATATCCACTTTAAAAGTTTCATCATGCCCAATTTGTGCCTTTCTACCAAAACACGCATGTGTTTTGAAAACAGCAGTTAGTTCAGTTAGTAAGTTAGTTAGTTACTTGGTTTGTTATTAGAAAAAAAACAAAAAACAATAATATCAATAAAAATGAAAATAAAATCAAACCAAATGAAACAGTCTCGTAATAAATTATATCTGGTTTTAAACCAAAGCTAAAATGTGATTATCCCTCTTCTAACATACTATTTGCCATTTTGAAGTAAGGTAAAGGAATTATCTGGATTTAGAATCATAAATTGTCTTTGAGACAAGAATATGTTGTAACCAATGTAATGAACCGTACTTGAATCTGAAGCTGTTTCATAATCACCCTTTGAATCAAACACATACTCATATTTATTTACCAATTCTGTTCCCTCTTTAGACATTTTAAGGTGACCAAGTTTCAAATAAAAAGAAATCCTGTTTTTGATAAGATAATAACAGAGAAAAATAATGATTAATCCATGATAAGGTTCAAATCTGTTATAAACCTCATTTTTCAAGTTTCATTCAGTTTAAATTTAACCCTATCTACAGCTAAGCCAAATTTCAAAAACTTCAACCCATTAGATGTCACTTTATTTTGTTTATAATTTTACCTGTTATGTAATTTCATTCATCCTTCATACAGTTAATTTTACCACATGTGAAAATAGTAAATTGTGCAGGATTAGTTTCGTTTCAATCAGTTTTCCCTCAGCATCATTTATTCCTTCCAGCCAATATTTCCCCAAAGGCTGTCTAACAGGTCGCCTCCTTTCTTCTGCACCAGGTATTCTAGCCCCCTTTTTCTTGTTTTTCTCTTTCTCCCTTATTTTGATATTCGTCATGCTTTGCCAAATAAGTTATTAATGTTTCTATTTGCTCACCAAGCGCAATCCATGGCCCGATGCCCCACTTTGGATCATATTTTTCCTTTACACCTGAATCTTCACACCTAAAAACTACTGTTTCTTTACACCTAAAAACTACTTAGTTTCTCCACACCTAAATTTACTTTTTCTTGTCTATACTCCTATGAACAGTTAAACATGTAGACAGGCCAGTGAAACACAATTTGAACAGAAATGTAAAAGCAATATGAAATTTAGACAAACCTGGGAAACAGTACAGACAACGGCTGATAACTGAAATTTATACAGACCTGAGAAACAGTACAGTGGTGTATATTAAGGAACAAGTGTCCTTACCTTTCATGTGGGCCCTACACCAGAGTACTGTTTCGGAAAGTCTGCGCCTGAACGGCCAGTCCAATCTCCGCTCAGGTGTCAACACAAAACCATCCTCTGCTACCAACTGTTAAGGATGAAAATCCCAATTGATGAATCATAATTTGTATCGACACACGGAGCATAAAATCAGCCAAGAAAAGCATTCAGACTTTACTTGTTTTATTAACTTTCAGCGCTGACAGGAAACGCTTTACCATTACATTGGAGAAGAGTTTCTAAAAAAGTCTGTGCAGCGTCTGAGGAGAAGAAGGAGGGTAGGTGATTATAAGGACTGAAAACACTCCCTGAAATCACACCATGTCTCTGTGGCCTGATAAGTTTCTGTTTCTCTGAGGAATGTGCTTTAGTGTCTAACAGAATCAAAAATGTAACTCTTTACTATGGGCCCTTTGTCTAACAACGTGTGACTCTTTCTCGACCTTGGCAAAGCATCTCAACACTTTCTATTTCTTCTATTCACCAGCCCAGACATCGCATTGGTGTTGCAATTGGAGACCAAATCCTTGACCTCGGTGTGATAAGCTCTCTGTTT